GAAAATTTAATCGATTGGAAACGTGCAAAAAAAGAATTTAGTTATTTTTGTTACTTTTATGTATTGTATTCACTTGTATACCTACTAAAAATGTAAAAATCAAATTTCTAAGTTTAAAATATTTTTTTAATAATGTTTTACTTCAAAATTTAAAATAAATACTTTTGTTTAAGTAAATATGCCTACTATCCCACAAAGTGGAGTTAATCCCATACATCAAAGGCAACTATACCTTAATGCCGGATACTTGACCATTTTAAAGATTGCACAAAAATGACTTTTATAGCTTTAAAAAAGGTTTAAAAAATCTTAATCAGTATAAAATGACGTCTAAATTAAGAGCAAAATTAAAATAAAAAACTCTTAATTTAGTAAAATAAGTTAAATTGTCTGTTGAAGAAAAATTAGTTTTGGGGGCATATATCCCGAGTTTACCCTATATACAGGGAGTTTACGGTCTTGAGATTGAAATTTAAATGAGATGATATTCACAGTAAAAGAAAACTAATACGCTGTATAAAACAAAAATTCACGTTGTTAAAGGAAATTATTCATTTTACACTATTTGTTTGAGAACTGCTGCTTCGGCTGCAACAATGGTCATTAGTATCATTACCTTGTGTTTCACCGTAAATCATAATCACGACAACCAATTTATTATTTTAATATTTGTCATACATATTCAAAAATTTGGAAAAAAAAATTAAGAAAAACGAATCAAACCATTCGCTGAAAGAGATTAAACAGAAGATCTGCGAATTTTGATAAAAACAAAAGCAAAAGCAAATCAAATGATGACAGTGTCAAAACTATGAAGTGACTTTTCTCTTTCATTGTCATGGATACGATTTTTTAATCTGTTGCAACAATACAATTTTATCTGAACAAGGAAATAATTCCAGTGACCCTCAAACCGTGTACCAATATTTTAAATTAAGTTAAATAACATTCTTGATAATAACAATTGTGTGAGTTTTTTCCTCGGTTACAGTGTTTCTGTACTCTTCTATTACTAGGTCAAATTTCAACTCCAAGACTGTAAACACCCTGTATATAAAGAGGCTTGTCCTGAGTGACCTATCAACCCACAGCCTAAACCGCTGGAGACAGAAATTTCAAATTTTCGAAGTAGATACCTTTTATAACGTAGGCATCCAATAAGAAAGAATTTTGGAAAATCAACCCCTATGGGGGTTGAATGGGGTGGTAAATTCGAAGTTTTAAAGCTATAGCCATGAAAATTGGTATTTAGGCTTTCGGGTAAAAATAAAAAAAATACGTATTTTACCATTTTTGGAAATTTCACCCCCAAGGGGGTTGAACAAGGGTAAAAGGTCGTAAAATATTTGTATTTTTTTTAAAGTTAAATTCATGAAAAGTGGTATTTGGGCTCTTACTTAAAAACACAAAAACATGTGTTTTAGGATTTTGGAAAATTTCATCCCCAAAGGGGTCAAACAAGGGATGAAAATTTGTATAAATATTTATAAATTTGTCATTTTTGAAGTTATATTTATGGAAATTGGGATTTGGGCTATCGGTTAAAAATGAAGAAACACGTGTTTTAGGATTTTTGAAAATCCCACCCTGGGATGACAATTTGTCATTTATAAAGTTAAATCCTTGAAAATTTGTATTTAGTCTTTCGATTAAAAATCAAGTAATACGTGTTTCAGAATTTTTAGAAATTTCACCCTCAAAGGGGTTGAACAAGAGTAAAACTGCGTAAAATATCCGTTTTTTTAATGTTAAATCTATGAAAATTGGTATTTGGGTGTTCAGTTAAAAGCAAAATAGCACGTGTTTCCAGATTTTGGAGAATTCTATCCCTAAGGGGGTCAAATAAGGGATGACAGTTTGTATAAATATGTATTATAGTTAAACATGAAATGAAACTTTGTATCAAAATTTGTCATTGTTAAGTAATATCCATGAAATAAGACTTAAAATTTTACGGTTTTTAAATAAGTTATAAAAGGCGGACTTTTTATTTTTACTACGAAGTTCATAATAAATTATGTGTTGCTATATTTTGTTAGTAAATTTCTTAGCCCTTCTGCGTTTTGAAATAGTTGTGAATGTCAAACTACCACGCGAGCGAAGCCGCGGGCAACAGCTAGTACCAAATACAATTCGCAAATTAAATATGCCAATATAATGCATAAATCGGGTAATTTAGAAAGCATTGGAAATACAATTGATTATTCTTTATTTTTTTTAGTTAGCGGAAACGGCATATCTTGCAACACTGAACAGACACCTGTTAAAAAAATGTCTCTTGGTGTACAACCATTTAACGAACTAACAAATTCAACAATAAATTAAATCCTACAACATCGGAAACAAAAGAACTAAGATGCCTAATATGGAAATTGACAATTCTGTTTACCTCAAAAAAAGGCTTGAAAAGAAAATCTAAATTTATTCTTAGCTTAGCTGAAAGTCTCTCACCATTTGAGAGTAGGTTATTATAAAGACTTCACATAAAATCCATTTTTTTTTAAATAATTGTCAAAGTGTTGTCATGTTGGTATCAGCCACTGTTATTACGTTGACAAAGTAAAATGTCAATTGAGAATGTCAGCCGTTTTCTTACGAAAGCGCTTGCGCTACTGAAGCCCCAATTACTTTTAAATTTAAAATTGAAATTACAACGTAAAGGGCACAGAAAGATGGAATTGGTTGGTATTAGAATTATTTCTGTGACGTTGCGGATGGCGGGAATACGCTACCCGTTTTTGAGGAAATTAATACGATAACGAGTCAGTTAACTGAATTATAATAATTGTTTGAATAAATTATTGTGAAATTGTGTTTTATCTCAAGAAGAGTCGTTTACAAAAATGAGTTTCCGAAAGCAAGGATCTGAACTCTAACATAACAAGAAAAATAGCTATGATTATATTTTGTGAATATATGCAGACAAAAAACCAACCATGTTAAAATTCTTCATGAATTTGACAATTTTGATTGTGTAAAAACTCCTAAAAAAGAACGGCATTCAATAAATTGCATGACTAATCCAGTATTTTATTATATTCCTACAATAATGATTCAATTTTCTCCAGAATCAGATTCTGAGGACGATTGGTGGTCTGAAAATTTTGAATCAGATTCTGAAAATGAGTAAATATTTAAATTACCCATTAAATAATTTTTTTCCGGTTAAGAGTTGCATTTTTCCGTGTCTTACCGTCCTTATTTTTTGTCTTTTGGTAAAAAATTTGCTTCCACTTGAAACTCTTCTGACATTTGAAAATTACTAACATAACCTCAAACCTAATCTAAAGAGATATACAGATAACATACAGCTGTGTCGAAAAAAAGGTTTTAAGATTGTACAGTGTGGTCTTTGATGGAATTTTGAAATTGACAATTGTTTTTAAAACAAATGGACTTTACCTGCCTTTCTCAAAATTTCACTTATAAATCTTTTCAAAGTTTACTTTCTTATTTTTACTTAAAAAAGTTCAAAAAACAAATATTATAATATAACATTATTATAAACATAATATAAAGTCTGTTTTTTTTTTAAATGAAAACGCCAAACAGTATTAACGTGGGCACCACTAGTAAATTTATTTATGGGAATTTTAATAAAGGAAGTTGGTAGTTTCGGTTTTTTGAATTAATTTAAAAACAATGTCATTAAACGTCAACACAAAAAATCGTGTAAGAAAATTTAGAGACGAAACACCAAAAAATGAACCAATTCGGTACCGCAAAAAGTTTTTCGAAATTTGGAAACGAATAGTTCGCAAGCAGGAAGTTAGCCAAAGGGCGCGTTAAAATGTAGAAGCAATTTGTAATGCAGGTTTGCTAAACATTCTCAATTTTTAGCAAGAAATTGACAAGAATACAAAATAAACATGAATGAAAAAGAACCTCGGAAGAACGCAATTAAATTAGTGTCTTGTGCATGTTTTTGAGGAACGAGTTGAAAAAGTAACAATTTTGATACTAAACCAGAAGAAGAATTTATAAAATGCTTCAACTTTGAACTCATTTTAATAAATAACACAAAATTTATTGCCAATCATCATAATACCTACTTGTATCTTTTGTTAAATAACTTTTTAGCACTGAATTCTGTTTTTAGACCTTAGGTAATGATGTCTGTCCTCAGGTATTCAATTATACCGCTTTTAAAAACCAAACAGGCACACAAGATTCATATAAATCAAAATTTTGACAATATCTCAATTTGAAAACATAACCATAATTTTTTAACAAAATTTCTAGGGACAAAAACAAAATTTTGACTTGGTAATTTCCATTTAAAGAAAAAACAGACTTTAGCATTTTTTCTGTGTTCCTGATATCTCACTTGGCATTTTTCTCTAGGGAGCGAGTTTTCAAAGACCCTGATGTATAAAAGAAGTCGAATCTGAGCAATATTTTTCTACGAGGATGACAAATTCGTATCGTCGATTACGAATGCGTAAACTACACCAATAAATTTGCCCAAAATTATGACAGATATAAATAATCCTAATAACGTAAAGAAAACAATAAATAATCAAAACGAGGGTGGTTTCGTGACTGGCTCGACTAGCGTGTTTGCATTACACATCTTTACATATACGTTATAATTTTTAATCAACAATCCTACTTCGTTATAAATTTATTATTAAACCATTATCTTTGCTTATATTTAAATATGACAACAATTTGAATGTTGGGTTGCCGACAGTCTATGTCTTCTAAAAAAAAATATAAACGAATCTTAAATTGTCGTAATGTATCTATAGATTTTCAATAATGTATTGTTACATAAGCCTAATCAATTTTTTATTCGGTTTTTATTGGCAAATTATTATTTTTTATTAGAAAATTGCCTAGAATTGGAGCGACAGGAAAACGTCATCTTTCATGCGTGATGCTTGATATAACCGACTTAATTGGACATTTTTATGGCCCGTTGAGTTATTTTTTCATAATGATTGATAAAAAATCTATTTTTCAGATCAGGATTTAATTTTTCAGGAACGCGTTCTTACCTGCACTCTGACTTCCGGGAGGTTGACTTTCATGGCAAGTTCCTCTCTGCTGTAAACATCAGGATAATGACTTTTCTCAAAGGCGCGTTCTAGTTCGTGTAGTTGATATGTTGTAAACGTGGTCCTATTTCTCCTGTGCTTTTTCTTGCATCCGTCTCCCTCTGATAAACCGGAATTATTGACTGTTCCTTCATCTTCGGAACCGCTTCCTACAGGACCCGATATTTTCCCGTATCGGAGTTCAGAGACACCGTCGTTTGAGTTGCAACTTCCTTCGCCTGAAATATTCGTAAAAATTCACCCTAACAAAATCACGAAAAATTATTGCCGAAATCGATTATCGCACAAGTGCCAAGAACAGGGGATTTTCCTCGCATGTATTATGTAATCATATTTTGACTTCAATCGATCATACGGTAATTCATGTATAATTAAGTAGAATCACACCTGTCCCAGGGCGGTAATCAAGCCGACAATGTTCCTAACTAATAGAATACAATACAAACACGCGATACACATTATATATCATAACCTAATGTGCAATGTCCGCACTATCGCCTCAACTATCGCTTTCAAACGCTCCCTCAATTATTTATCAATGCAGAAACACATTAATTACCCTCTTATCAGACATAATCTCGACACGTTTTCAAACAACACCAGTCTATTAAACTCCCAAATTGTTATTACCGGAATCATTTATTCATTGCAGTATCCTGTATCGATTATAAAATTAACTATGTGTTCAAATGGACAATCTGATACGCTTGATTACTAAGTAACAACAGAGGTAAAAAAATTACCAAAAAGAACGAACTCACCACACAATAAAGCTCTCCAACAAAAAAAGTATTTACTGATTTATATTTCTGTTAAACCGAAGTAAGCATAAACATTTAGTAAAACTATAATTATTATTAACGTACAAACAATATGGCGTGGCTTTAAACTATCGATCAACACTTGAGTCTTCAATTTATTAACAGAATTACTTAAAAAAAATATTTTCAAACAGTCGAAAATTGCGCCTTTGTGTATCTCTATAGAAATGGTTGAAGTGGCCACTTTTGTTAACTGGAGTTGAAATACTTTAACTCCTAGGAGTTAAAATATCCACAGGGGCTGCTCGACGGAGTCAAATATGAGGTCATTAAAAGCACGATTTATTTAATAACTAAATTAAGTATTTATTAAAAAAACCTCGAAACAAGCAAAATAACAAAATTATATTACCCAATACTTAAACGGTACCACTGTGGAACATGTGCATGGTAAGAAAAATTTCAGAGAAAAATTTCAAGTAAGATGAAATACTAGGAAGATGGAAAAACTGTTTAAAAAATTCTATAGGTATGTCAAAAAAGTTTGACATTCATTTTTTGATATTTGACTTTTTTTATGTCTATTTAATAATACTGATGATTTTGTGCATGTTTTTTTTTATAATTATTTAGTAAAGGTACAAAAATTTATCCAATAAAAGCCACAAATAACATTAAACAGAGTTACAATTTAGAATACAGCTTCCTTGTTTCCTCTTCTAACAGCTTGTAGCAAAAAAAGTAGGAAAGTTATTTTTCCAACAAAAAAATAGAGACAAAGTGCAAAATTTAAACTCTCATAACTTTGAAACTTTAATATATAGAATATTTTTAACATTTTTTCCATGTTTTCAGTATTTTACCTTACTACTATTTTTATTATACAGGGTATTTCAGGAGTAATAATGAGCCCGATAGAATTGAAAATGCAACCCACAATACATTTACAAAGTTAACGTAGATATTTTAGATATCGCATTGAAAAACTGATTATGAATCCTTGATAGCTTTGCTTTCAATAATTCTATTTGTAACAACTGACATTAAATTTAACAAAAAGTCAAAATGATCTGATTCTGATTCTCATTTATGGCGAATTTGGGAAAAATGTTTCTGCCGTTGAGCCTTTGTAAGACAATGTTTCTCAAATAGAAAAATTCCTAAAAGGTTTGAATAACTAAAATGTTTTCCAACGGTAGAAAGACAAATAACCTTAAAAATTGTGTTTTTTGTCTTGTCAATTTCTTTGTATCAGTCACACAATATCTATGTTTTATTAATTTTAAAATTCATAATCAAAATCTATGAAGCCTATGCAACTGCTGGCTGCAGTTCAAATTTGGTCAGGCTCATTATTATTCGTGAAATACCCTGAATTGTTTTGATTTTTCCTATCTTTACTAATGTAGTAGTAGTTTTAACATTAAACAATTTTTCTCTATGTTATTTTAGGTTTTTTCGAATCTATTGCTGTGTTCAGATTAGAACAATAATTTTCTGCAGCAAAATTTAGAAAAAATAAGTTTGTATAAAGGCTGTTCTGGCTAACTCCACATTAGAAGAAGTGTTGGAAATTTTGAAATCGATTTATTTATCTACTGCCCAATAAAAATGTTTTTATTGTGTTTTTTTCGTTCCTGTACCTAAGTTTGGCCGTTTTTAAGATTTTTTTGAAAATTTTTGGATTTGAAGCTTCTTTTTTAAAAATCGATAATCGGTTTACAAATTTTTTCAATTAAAGACCATGATCTAAAAATGACGATTTTATAATTAAATTTATGATTTACCTTAAAAAGTTAAAGAGTTCATCGGCAACTAATTCCAGCCCATTTTGTCTTTCAACTTATAATCATTTTGACGTTTCATGTGCCGTTAGTTCAAAAACAGACATACGTTTTCGGATTCAAAGATGACTGGATTACAGATTAAGTTGATCTTTCGATACATACATCCTCCACTGTTGCTCATTGTGATTTTAAGAAAACGATTTTTTTACTATCAAGGGTGACACCAACCCATCAGAAAAAAAACCTAAATTATGAAGAATTATTTGTTTTTTTTTTAATTTTTCGTAACAAAAAATATTGTGCCTATTTTGACAATCTCGTTAGATAAATAATTATTTTGTAATTTTATGTTTTCTGGTATACAGGGTGTTCGGTCCAAGTCGGCCCGGCTGATAACACCTAAACCTACTTCCTTTTTTCAAAAAGTAAATATTTAAGTAATAATATTCATTCTTAGCTTTCTTAATAAATGTATCAAATTTTTTTTGCACATCCGGTGTTGCCGGAAATACTACCAAATTTAGTTTTTCAAATGGAACACCTATGTTTTTTTTTCCTCCAAACAATAATAATTGACATGAAAAATACTGAAAAACCACTATTTATTACATTTTGCGTAACACAATGCAATCAAAAAACATCTTAAATTTTAGAATTTTATTAGGAAATTGGTCGCGTAGCCTGATGTTAAATTTTAAAGGAAAGGTGTGAATAAAAAAATGCTTGGATACAGTTTAATTGTTGGTTTGACAAATCTAATTTGTCAGTTGATGAGCGAGTTCTCTTATGGAAACTCTTAGATTTTCTTCGACTAATAATAGAACATTCAGATTTCTATTTTCTTGTTCTTCACAAAGAACCACAGGTTTTTTATTTTCAAGAAGCGAACCTATTCGTCTCAGTTGTTTTTCAATTCGACTAAATTTCCAACGATTTGGATGAACTCTATTTGGGTATTTTTCTCTATACTGTCTTTCAGCTTCCGCTCTATTTTTATTGCACTTTAAAACACTTCAAGCTGATCTACCAATTTGTCGTAATTTATATCATCCATTATTAAAGATCTCAATAAGATTTATTGACAAATTAGGCTTTGTAAAACTAACAATTATCGGTATCCAAGCATATTGCTTTTTGCATGAATACCTTGACAAGTAAAATCCCCCTACGTTGCAAAATTTGCAATAAAATTCAAAAATTTAAATTGTTTTCTGAGTGCATTATGTAAAGGAAAATGTAATAAATAGTGGTTTACAGTATTTTTCATACCAATTATTATTGTTTTGAGCAAAAAAACATAGGTGTTCCATTTGAAAAACTAAATTTGGTAGCATTTCCGGCTACACCGGATGTGCCAAAAAAAAATTTGATACATTTACTAAGAAAGCGAGGAATGAATAGTATTGTTTAAAAATTTAGTTAAAAAAAAATGTTTAGGTGTTATCGGCCGGGGCGACTTGGACCGAACACCCTGTATAAATACTTCCATTGACAGAGTTAAAAACGGAGGAAAAAATCGATTTTTTCCTGCGATTTGTTTTATCACCTTCAAGAATCTCTTTAGGTAGAAGCAAAATTAAACTAATCATCAATTACAGTATATGGTGTAAAGCATTGTTTGGGTTAAAGACTGATAACAAAATAAAAACAAAATAATTTAACGAAAACAGTGTGTCGAAATTTCAAATTGGATTGCAAAGATACGCGGGTCACAGTTGCCTAAAGAGCAACCAATGACACTGCTAAATTTGATACATTTACCTCGGTTGCAACATAATTTGAAATTTTGGCCTATTGTTTTCTTTTAAACATCATATAAAACAAAACAAACAAAATATTGATTCATAAAACATTTACGTTTTCTTTTCTAGCTCATGACTAATTTAAGAAAATAAGCATGATGAAAGATTGCCTACACCATCTCATAAATCCGTTCTTGCTTGACGTGTCTTTCATCTACTGAATTTAACTTTTTCAAAAGTCTAGTTCATTTTGGTTTTAAGAAAATAAATATTTAAAAGAACGAAAGAAGTTTTCGCTAAATGAGCTTGTTTATTTATCATTAATAAAAAAAATATTAAATTTCTATTTCTAAAACAAGGCTTTTCATCATCAAATACTTAACTGAATTTTAACTATTTGGTAAAATGTTTGAATTGTGTTTTGTAAAAAATACAAATTTTTCTTTTGTACTACGAAGCTATAAATCATGCAATAAAAAAATTGTTATCAATTAAAGTGAATTAATTTAAATAATATACAATTAATTATAGTCCGCAATATGTCATTTTAATTCCAACCCTTGTAACATTAAACAAATTTAATGTGACTTTTATTATAGACAAAATTTATTAGTATTTTGCATGATTAAAAAAACGCATTTTGCCTATTACATTATAAGCCCAACACACACTGATTAATCGCACCTGACGTATATGCAAATTGGAAAAATTAAAACTGCACATACACGAGATTTTATTAAGCGGCAGTCGAGAAACGTTGCCGCTAATTGCATGTAAAAGCCACATAATGCGAGAGAAAGAAATGGAAAATACGCCGATGGGAATGAACGATAAAATTCGAATAATTAGGAACGGAAATTTCAGCTCGTAGTTTTTTGTAACAATGATGGCGAAATTAAAAATAATCAAAGCGAGTGTGTTGTATGTT